TTTTTTTTTTTTTTTTTTTTTTGAGGGGGCTATGTCCTTTTTTTGAGACAGGGTTTCTCTGTGTAACAGTCCTGGCTATCCTAGAACTCACTCTGTAGACCAGGCTGGCCTCGAAGTCACAGAGATCCACCTGCCTTTTAAAGGTGTGCACCACCACCGCCCACAAAAGAATAAGAGTTATTGATCATCCTTGGCTACCCAGTGAGCTTCAGCCCCGCCTGGGATACATGAGACCCTGTCTAAAAACAAATTAATGGTGAGGTATGATGGCTCATAACTGTAATTCCAGCCTTCAGAAGGTTGAAGCAGGAGGATCGCCATGAGTTCCAAACCAGTCAGGGAATGTGAACCTGTATCAACAAAAATAAATATAAGATAGAGGAAGGTGTAGTGACACCTACTTGCCTGGAAGATGGAAGCAGGAATATCAGGAGCTCGAAGTCACCCTTGGCTATACAGCAAGTCTGAGGCCAGGCGAGGCTACGGGAGAGAAGCTCAAAACTAAAACAAAACCCGAACTCAAAATCAAATCACAGGCTCTAACACAGCAGGAGACTCCTCTAAGTCATGCTCTGTGGAAGGGTGAATCCTATCGTGGAGGGCAGAAAACTCTGGAAAATTTGCATGGAATCTCCTTCCAGTTTCCACCCTCGAGGCATGGAGTATTTCTGGATGGTTCTGAGTCTTTCACACAGTTGGCTGGATTTTCCTTCGGCACACAAATGCCCTGTTTCCACTCAGTGACAGGTGGGAGAAGATTTTTAATGATACGCCTTGGACCTTAGGTGTCTTTTAGTGCCGGCTGGAGGCAGGCCTGGTCCCTGGCCGGGTATTGGCATGCAGTCACAATCCCACTGTCTCTAAAGGCTGGAGCAAGAAGAGTGTTCCATCCCACGGGTTCAAAGCTAGCTGGGAGACATGAGACCCTGTCTCCAGCTTGGCACTATTGAGTGGTAACGGAGCCTTTCAGAGGTAGGGCCTACCAAGGGGCGTTAGGTTCTCAGCCTTCCTAACCCTGTGACCCTGTAATGCAGTTCCTCAAGGTGTGGTGGGCCTCCCCAACCATAAAATTATTTTTGTTGCAACTTCATATCTGTAACTTTGCTACTGTTATGACTCGTAATGTGTTTTGAATCGTAATGTGTTAGGAATCGTGTTTTGTCCTGTTATGAATTGTATCTGTGTTTTCCTCTGGTCTTGGGCAATCCCTGTGAAAGGGTCATTTACCCTCAAAGGGGTTGAGACCCACAGGTTGAGAACCACTGTTTGAGATCCCTCAAGACAGATTCTAGGGCCCTGATCTCTTCTCCCTCCCAACCCTGTAGTGAATGGCTTTCCTCCACCACAGGCTCAAAATCAACCTTTTCTCTCTATGAATTGATTCTCTTTTGTAGTTTTTACATTATTCATTCATTCATTCATTCATTCATTCATTCATTCATCCATTTGAGTGTGGACATGTGAAGTGCATGTGAATGCAGGGGCCCAGAGAGGCCAGTACCCAAGATCAGATCCCCTGAAGCTAGGGTCACAGGTGGTTGTGATCTGCCCGACATCTGTGCTGGGACCCAAACTAAGGTCCTCTGGGAGAGCACGATGCGCTCCATCCCTGGTAGTTTTTGCAGAACACGAAGTTGATACAGGCGGATCCCAAGATCTTTGGATGCTTTTTCTGAACAACTGTGTTCGGGCAGAAATCCTTGCCATTCAGTTGTTAAGCCACCCCAAGCCAAAGGCTACTCTGGCTGTGATTTTATGTTGGGGAGTGTGAGATTTTGGAAGAGGAAGTACAGTTCTGGCTACTGGATTGAGTGAGTACCCCCAATGTATGAATTCTACAGTAGCCCTGTCTTCACTGAAGGCAGAAATGAAGGATGTGAGCCCCCAGAGAGTAAGAGCCCCCCAAAGTGACTGCGGGAGAAGCAGCTGCTCAGGTTAACAACCTTCATCCGCTTCCTTCTCACACATGGGCTTAGTTTCGAGGTCACATGAGAGGAAGGTGGCATGTGTCTGTCATTCCAGCACTTAGAAGGCAGAGGCAGGGGGATTGTTGCAAGTGTGAGGTTGGCCTGGGCTCCACAGGAAGCTCCTTTCTCAAACAAAACACCTATCAAGCAGGGATATAGAGAAGGGAAATAGGAAGAAGGAAAAGGAGGGAGGTGGGGAGAACGAGCGAAAGAACATGACAGGCTACAAAGAAGTGAAGGGGTCCTGCTGTAAATACGACAAACCAAAAACAAACTGGTAGGTAAATTCAGTCAAGACACCTCCACTAAGCCAGAGGTCCGCACAGGAGGGTAGAAAGCCTGGGTCTAAGGGCCGAAGCCAGACCTGGAGCAACTGAGCATGGAGCTCGGCTCTTCCAACCCCACAGGTCCCTGGAAGAGAGGCCATACCCTGAGATAGCCCCTCACATGTGAAATGCCCAGTGTGTGTGTGCAGTTAGCTCCAGAAGGCTGCAGTTCCACTAGCGCAGGCTTTCCCAGACCCAGGGCCCAACCAGCACGCCATCACTAAACAAGGAGGTCATCCTGACCTCGCTGTCCCAGGAGCAAGGCCTTCCTCCACCTCACAGGCACTTATTTCACTCACAAGGACAATCAATGTCAAGGTGGGACCCACAAGTGACCCCAGAACTCGGGAGGCTGAAGCAGTGGAATTCCAAGGTTAAGGCCATATTAAGCTCCATGAGAGCCTGCTTCAAAACAGAAAGAGAAAAATTTTTTTAAAAAATGGCTATAAATTGGGGGGGGGGCCTTTAATGTTCTGAGCTTAAGAGTCAGGGTTTTCAGAGACCTTGAACCATACCAAGTAGAGCTGACTGAGCAAAAGAGAATAATACTGTGTGATACATCTTGGCTCCCAATGCCAGTAGGATGAATGAAGAGGAGATGGAGCAAAGAGGTATGTGTGTGTTAATTGGCCGAGGCACTGCAGGGGGTGGGAGGATATGGAGGGACTGGGAGGTGAGTGGAATAGTTTGCATGATGTAAAATTCCCACGGGTTCCTGGATCAAAGAAGCTGTCGTATGTGCCTTTCAAGGTTCCGTGCTTAGGTCTTAGAGGCAGCTACTGATCTGCACAAGGGAGCCTGGCTCTGCTCTGTGGGTTTACCCGAATGCTAATTTCCAGCGGCTAAGGTGTCGCATCACCAGCGGGCCAGGGAAAACCTCAGCAAGGGTGAGGCACAGCTTTAATTAACAGACCAATCAGAGATTTGAGGGAAGCAGAGATTAGTGGTTCTCAATCTTCCCAATGCTCTAACCCTTTAGTACAGTTCATATTGTGATCCCTAACCATAAAATGTTCATTGCTACTTCCTGTGATTTTGCTACTGTTATGAATCGTAATGCCAATATCGGATACATGCATGATCCCTGTGAAAGGGTTGTTTGACTCCCCCAAGGGGTCGCAACCCACAAGTTGAGAACCATTGTAGTAGACAGTTTGCAGCCCTAGAGACTTCAGAACTCATCTGCATGATTAATAAAGGAAATGATTCTAAGGAGTGTCCTGATGAGGTTAGCCAGGGAGGTGCCACACTCTGCTCTCAGGGAAAACAAATTCCACTCACTTCCTCGGGGGTCTTGAACTTAAACACTCAGGCTCATACATGCTTCGAGCCACTATTTCTCCCTTGAAAAAGAAGCGGAGATTGGACAGAGCGTTCTCCCCTGGGCACTTTCAACAGGGCCTGAGATGTGCTTGTGCTGGCGTGGGCACGCTCCTGTCTGAGCTCCCATAGGGCCTTCTCAGGGTGACTTCCCCTCGCCTCCGTTAGCCCAGAAGTCCAGCACTGGTGTTATTATTTTATTGTGGCATCCCCAAACACCAGATCTAAAGCAGTGGTCAAGACATTTGCTGGCAAAGTGGAGATGACCTCAGTCAGTACAGCAAGGCACAGCACCCAGGTTCTAGTTCTTGATTTTAATGTCATCCAACGGAACCGAGGCTCTATATGCAAGAGTAGTCACAAACAGGTATGCTATTGAACACAGGAAGTGTTATAGTCAGTACACAAAAACAAAATTATGCAAATGAAGACAATGGATCCAGCTGACCTCCCACACTCAGAAGGCCATGTCTGTTTCGACACCCAATCTGTTCCCACATTCCCAATCTAACCCTCCCCACTACAGACACATATTTTCCCCAAAATTGCCCCCCCCAAATGTCTCTTCCATCCCAATTCCCAACATCTTGCCTTTAGATAAGGGAAGGCTCCCTTAAGAATAATGGGCATCCCCTCCAGGCAAGAGCCTGCACCGAAGCCCGAGAGCTTAACTGTTTATATAACAATCAAATATGGTTTAAAACTATGCAGAAGGACACTTGACAGTCTTCCTAGGATCAAAATGCTTTGTGGGCAAAGTGTGCTGGGTGACGTCTATCTCAGGACTCAGCCCAGCATCACACGACACCTCCCCGCTCCCCCGCTCCCCGCTGGCTCTGTGTTGCGGGTGTGTGGTAGTCCTCCAGAGAGCAACTCAGAACTTGATCAACCCAAGACACAGAGCTCAGGCAGTTAGTTCCCAGACAACCCAAACCCCAAGAGAAATGAACAGGAGGGTCCAGAGTATTGTTGGCTTTCAGCGTTGGAAGTACTGGGCAGCCAGGTGAGCACACAGAGAAAGGTTATGGATGGTGATGGTTCCTTTATTAGATCAGTAACAATGAACCCCAACCCCCCCCACACACACACACCTTGGAATATTTTGTTTCAATGTGGCTCTCCCTCAGTCTTCTCTGCCTCGACTCTAACGTTGCACCATGTGCCGCTATCAAATCTCTCACTGTCCCGACCAGTGAGCATGTCACCCAGGAGAAAAAGTGCCCAGAGTCAAACAGGAGGGAAGCTCAAGGCTAGGCACTTGGGTCTGCTTCAGCAACAACTGGTCTCACTCACACCGCGAGAGGCATTGACACGGCGCACAAATCATTTTGAGAACGACTTCCTGTGGATCAAGGAAAAACTTTCCTTGCAAATCTTTTGGTCTGGGTCTAAGCAATTGCAACTGGAAAGGGATCAAACGGACAGACAGAGGTAATTTCCACAGACACGACCCCTTCATTTGGAAGCCATCCACAGCCACCACATACAATAGCATATTTCAGAATAAGCTCAGCTTCTCATTAGAGAGGGCCAGAATAGGCTGATGAATTCTTTTATTCTGTTTAGGAAAAGCTCCAAGAGAGTAGAAAGTGAGTTAGAGCCCCAAATAGCAAAGATACAGTTTGACATGATGCTTGTCTTTTTTTTTTCTTTTTTTCCTTTTTTTTTTTTTTTTTTTGTTGAGAAGGGAACCTAGGGCCTTGTGCATAGTAGGTAGGTGTGTTCTCTTATGAAACCACACCCCAGATCCCAATATATATTGCTTATTTCATATTTCACTAGTCAAGGGAAAATTATAATAAATATACTTTATAGTACAAAGAAAAGTTTCTGTGCTGCAAGAAAGTACAGAAGTCACTGGCTTAAAAAGGGTTTTGTTATTTAAAAAAACACATACACACAAGAAGATTTGGTATATGGTCTGCCCTAATATTGCAAACATCAAGTCAACTATTTAAAAAAAATATAGTAAAGGAATTGAAAGGGGAGGGGAGGGAATTCTGAGCTGGTTATCTAGTGCCCCTCCTCTGTCTGCTCCAGTGGCCTGGAACATTCTCTTGCCACAACGGTACAAAACCTATCATCCTGAGAATAAAAAAGGAGACGGAGAAACTGTCTCCAGGAAGTACAGAGACAATGTCTTTCCCCCAGGCATCTTTGTATTAAGCAATCAGTCTGGGCCTGGTTTTGAGCAGATCAGTTTTCCCTCTGTCTTATATTAGTGGACTAAATTTCCAAGCACTGAAGGACTCTCTAGCAGGAAGAGAAAGGGTCCCAGGCCTAGTTACTAGAAGTCCTCCACTCAGTTGTCAGCTCTCTGCTGATCTGGACAACATTCTCAACAGTGTGCTTCACTAACAGTTTAAAAATGGGACGATCAGTTCATCACTCCATCGAGCACTGGCATTAACACTGACTGCCCTAGTGTTCCAACTTTCGCTTCCCGTCAGGTTTAAGATGCATCCTCGACACGGCACAATCGAAACCATTTGGGGGCAGATGCTACTTCTCATTCTTCAACCCAAGAGGATTTCGAGCTGCATAGCATATTCAACTTCAGGACACAACCAGTAGAATCCTTCACACCGGGCCCCAGAACCCACTGAACTATGCCTACAGATAATCCGCGCTATACAGGCTGGGGTTGAATTAGGGGACTTATTGGACAGCTGCCTGTTGACTTTGCGCACCCAGCATTCCTAAGAAGGAAACTCAGGGAATTTTGAGCAAAGGGCAGCCAGATATTATCTTGAACGACACAGACTGGTTTCCCGCATCTTAGAAAATAAGACAACCAGCAACTTGACTGACTTTTGTCTTGACACAGGGCTTGGCAGCTGAACACAACAAGCCCTCTTAGCTCTTGCCAACAACCATAATGAACATTGGAAAGTAGGGCAATTCTTTCTTCCTGTAGCCTTGTTTTTTACCGAAGCTAGTTGTAGGTGAGAGGGCTTGCCTGGAAAAAGTTCAGTGCCAAATACCCGCTCATGCTGAGCAGGGCCAAAACAACATCCCCAGGGTTGGAACACTCCCGGGTTCATGATGGTGATCTCTGGGATCAGGCGGGCCAGCTTTATCTTCAAATTTATGTTGACCCATCAAGGAACCAACATGGAAACTGGACATGATTCTGCTATCAGTATTTCCAATCCGGTAGCCCAAGGAAGATGCTCAGGTCTCTTGACAGTTACAACTGTTTTAGACCACACCTTCCGCAGAGAAGGCAATCAGATCACTCTCTACTCTTGTCTGGACAGTTATGGTTCAAGCAGAGGTTGACAGTTTCAAGCTCGCACTGCAGGAGCTGGCCAAGAATATGCTCCGTCTGCACGGAGTCTCAACCTCTGAGGAGTCAACAGCCTGGAACACGGACTGTTTCCCCAGTTGTCAGCCGTTGCACCGGGCTCATGGTGGCACTCTAGTGGGTGTTACTGTTGGAGAACAATACCAGCAACTCTGGGAAACTGCCAGTAAGGCTGAGAGACGCCCAAAGAAGCATGCTGAAGAGCAAGAGATAGACCAACTAGACTTTGATCATGCTGAACAGGGAATCCTGGTGGACTTCCAAAAAAAAAAAAAAAAAAAAACCCAAAACCCAAAAACCACAACATTGGACATCAAGGCAGGATGACGCTTGCAGCAAAGAGGGGGAAAAATCCAACAACTTGCAGCTTTGGTTCACACTGCAAATCAAGGGAGCCCAACACCTCAAGGCTCTTCTATGTCAGCACCCCAGCAGCCTGCCCCTTCGAATACCTCTACTAGGGGTCCAGATGATCAGGAAACCAGTGCCAGGGAGTAAGCCTCCAACACCTGGATGATTTAGCTGCAGGAAGTAAAGATCCAATAATAACCCATGGCAGCGATGTGCACTAGGATCCCTCTTCTCAGATCTTAGATGCAAGCTCAGATGATGAGTGTGAAGAGGACTATGGCTCACTCACTGCCACTCCTGGCTTTCTGGTTGGACCTCACTGGTCACGCAAGAGCCCAGTTGATGAGACTAAGCAACCTGAAAAAAGAAGCTCCCAAAACGACTCAGTGGACACTAGTCAGCAGACACCCCAAGATCAGGCTTTGCCTATGAGACAACAGTAACAACCTCGGGGTTGCAGGAAAGCCCAGATGCTTCAGGGCAAAAGCTTCCACCTGCTTTAACCAGGGAAAACCTCACTGCAATCCCTGAAACCGGGTAGAGTTGGACCCATTCCTACTTCATTGAGCCACCACCTCCCCCAGTTTATCCTTCTTTGGACATTGACAAGGAAACATCTCAATCACCCCAAGTAGATCCTTTAGAAATACCACTCAAGTCCCCAACTGGTGCTCCCTCAGTAACACCCAACTTGACAACTGAGCAGATCGGTAAAATGGAACAGGAGTAGCGGAGCATAATGGCCAATGAAGGCCTCTGGGCGGGGCAATTGTTTCACCACAGGCCAACTGGTAGACCCAAGGATTTCCCCACTTGGAATGGAGCCATTCTCCAGTTCCCAACAAGCCTAACAGGGGCCACTGCTCCAATAAACAATCAAGAGGGGTGGCACTTTGGGACAGATGGGACCATCGCCATGGAAGGGCAAATGCCTTGATGGTCTGACCTTGACCTGCAGTCACGCCTTGTGCATATTGCATTGATTATTCATAAATTCCCACAAAAGGAACTTAACTACCTCCATATTAATTGGTCTTACAAGGTGAGTCCATTTCTCAGGGATAATTTTGCAACCTCAGGGACAGAAAACCAGAGTTTCAAATATGTTTCTTGCCCTGTTTTGGTCATGAAGTTAATGGTTTAAAGTTAAATTTGTATATTCTGAGTGAGTTAAGCATGAGTAGTGTGTTGTAATGCAGATAGCTGGCTACTCTGCAAACTCTGTTTATGTTATTAAGAAAAAAATGAACACAAGAGCCAGGTGTGGTGGGACATGCCTATGTCCCCCAGAGCTTTGGAGGTAGAGGCAGGAAGGTCAAGAGTATAAGGTTGTCCTTAGCTATAGAGCTAATTTGAGGCCAATCTGGGCTACATAAGACCCTGTCCACAAAATAAAAATAAAACCTATTTAAACAAAGAACTTCTTTGCTAAGACAAGGCCAGAGCCACGGTGTTGGGCTAAGAGCCAAGCAGGGGCTTCATGACCCCAGAAGATCCTATTGTTTGCTGAGGACCACAGAGAGAACTCTATCCTGGAAGACAGCTGCTGCTCCCTCCCTCTAGGCCTTGTTACACTCAGAGTGAAGCACAAGGTCAAAACCATGTGTTCTCCCAGAAGCCCCGGAAAGTCACCCCCTCCACCTGCAATGAGAAGTCCAGCTCAGAGCCCAGGGCTTGGCCTTCTAGTCTTCTGAGGCACATGGATGCCTCTAACCCCCAAGTGTCTGATTGGACCACTCTGACCTTACAGGACTAATATTGGGGGTGCTGCCAATTCCTTATTTTTTTTTTAAAGTTATTAAAGCCGGGTGGTGATGGCGCACGCCTTTAATCCCAGCACTCGGGAAGAGGCAGGCGGATCTCTGTGAGTTCGAGGCCAGCCTGGTCAACAAGAGCTAGTTCCAGGATCGGCACCAAAGCTACAGAGAAACCCTGTCTCGAAAAAACAAAAAAAAAAGTTATTAAAAAAAATACTATCCAGAAACGGTCAAGGATACCTACGATTACATAAAACCCATTGTGCAGTGAGGACAATGTAATGCTCTCAGAAGAGAGCGACACATCTCTCTCTTTGCGGGCTACATGCTGCACCCTGACCGCTGAGCAAGAAATTATTGTGGATTGTTTTCTCTTTTTGAAGCAGGAAGTAGAACACACACATTTACTACAATCATCTTCAGCTCCTAGGATGGCAGTGCCTCCACCTGGGACTTACTTTCCTCTCCCTCAAGCCCAAACAGTAGCTTCCAAAGAAAGAGAGTGTCCGTGCCAAAGAGGTTCACCACACTGGATCCTAACACAAGACTTGGCAGCAGGCCATGATCTCGGCCTCTGGAGGGATGCTACATGTTATGAGTTCCTAGACTCCCTGTCTGCCTAACTTGGGGAATCTTTGGAGAGAACCTTTGAAACCTTCCAGTCCTATGAAGAGTATAACTCTGCAAAGAATGTAAAGCCAAAGCTCCAGGGCACGGCTGTAAACATTGTGGTTTTTCTAAGGCCCAACTGGTACAAGGCTTTGGCAGCTGTGGTTAATCTCAAAGAGAAGGTGACAGGCATGTTCTGGAAGTGCGGGACATATGTTTCCACATCCTAAGACAAGGTACTATAGTCACTGGAAGAGCAAGGAGCACATTGGGGAGAAAAGGACTCTTTCTTCTTTGGCCAGGGCTACAGGGTGGACACTTGGGTAAATCCCCTACCACACTCCTTATTCTGACTGACACACTGAGCACAGGAATGTTCAAACAGGGTGAGGAAGTGATTGACACCTTCATCAGCGACATGGCTCTAAAATGGGCAGACGCTCTCTTGCAAGGTGTCAAGAAGGTTATCAAACCTCTCCGGACTTCCGATGATATCCCCACTAAATCCTGTGGCCTCCAGTGAAGACGCCATGCCTCGAGGAAAAGATGGGGTGAGTGCAGATTAAGTCCCCAAGGTAGACGAGCCAGGGGGGCTGCAGCAGCACCCGTGCCTTTGCATCTGTGCCTCAGCACACTGTCCTCACCTCAGGAGGTTCGGGGACAGTCAGCAGCTCCTCTGGGGATCAGATTCCCAGAGCCGCCCGAGAGGATGGACACCTCTTAAATGGGACCCGGCTACTGGTACTCACCACCACGTGATTTTGAACTCATAGATGGGGCGTTTGCAGTAGTAGTGGTTGACAAGGTGCTTGTCACACACCCCGATGCACTGGTGATCCACTGTGAGGCCTTGGGCTGAGAGGTCCGTGACCAGACAGTGTAACAGGTCATATACATCAGCCACTGCCTCCCAGGGCCCAAAAGACACATCTACTTCACAATGGTGCTCAAAGAGCTGTCCATCACTCTCACTCCGCTCAAAGCGAAGAGAGTTGAGGAGGGGACACTCATAGGGGGTGATGGGCATCTCTTCCTTGAAGACACAGACTTTGAGCTTGGCAAAGCGGGCCTTCCGCTGTACTGCGCGCAGCCGGGCAATCTCCACAATCCGCTCCAAATGGTCTATAGAGTTTAACACAACAGCCGTCAAGGGGCAGGGTGGAGTAGGAGGGGGAAAGAGAGATACAGGCAAACAAAAAGGGACAGACACCCAGTGACAAGATGCAGAGGGGAAGAGGCAGATTTCATGAGGGGACTCCATGGGCTCAGCAAGGGCACACTTCAACAAGGCCCATGGTATTCCAAAGCTAGGAACCCCACACAGGGTGAGGGCTATCCACTTGAAATGTTATCTATCTGCTGGCTGTCCTGAGAGGACTGTGGGAGTGTACGGGAGATGTCCTTCCCAAACTTGAAAAGTCCCAGCGTTACTGAAAGAGGGGAACATTTTCTCCTAATCTGGATGAATTCTGGACCCACCCACTTTTGGGAAAGGCCTGGGAGTTGAAAGATGCCTTGCAACCCCTTTTTCCAGGTGTGTAGGGCAGCTGACCCCTCACCTTTGTAATAGGGCATGAGCCCCAGAAAGGCCTGGCGCACTTTCTCGCCCTTCAGCGGCTGCATGTTCTCCAGCTGCTCCAGGAGGGGCCCAATGGCGTAGTACTGGGCCTCTTTGTGCACGGCTCGCACATGCTCCCGGGGAGGCAGATCCCCTGAGCGCAGGAAGTTCAGCACATCTCTGTGCAGGAAAAAGGGTGAGAAGGAGATAAGGACCATGGGGGTGGGAGGTGGGTGGGTGGGGCTGTCAAGGTGGCTGGAGAAGAATCTGGGCCACATTGTCAGCTGTATAACTTTGATACGTGAACTTGGCCTTTGTGTGCCTTGGGTATCATCACGTACAAGATGAAAGAAAATAAGAAAAGTACCTCACAGGATTGTGGTGGTGCACACCTTTAATCCTGGCACTTGGGAGGCGGAGGCAGGAGGATCCCCTTGAGTTTGAGGCCAGCATGGTCTATAGAATGAGTGAGAAAACCTGTCTTTTGAGCAACAACAAAAAGCTCACTCATAACATAAGTGCAGGCGTAGTAGAGTAACTGAAGCTTTACATGCCCAGTGCTAACAACAAACTCTCCTTGTCCCACATCCTCACCATTAGTTATTCTGTAGCTCTATGGAGAAGACAAAATACCTAACAACATGGGAATTAACTGGTTTTAAAACTAAGGAAAGTCGGGGCTGGAGAGATGGCTCAGTGGTTAAGAGCATCGCCTGCTCTTCCAAAGGTCCTGAGTTCAATTCCCAGCAACCACATGGTGGCTCACAACCATCTATAATGATGTCTGGTGCCCTCTTCTGGCCTCCAGGCATACATGCAGACAAAATATTGTATACATAATAAATGAATTAAAAAAAACTAAGGAATATATAGTTTCTTAGGTAGGGTTTCTCTGTGTAGCTCTGTGGCTGTCCTGGAACTAGCTCTTGTAGACCAGGCTGGCCTTGAGCCTCTGCCTCCTGAGTGCTGGTATTAAAGGCGTGCGCCACCACCTTTTTCTTTTCTTTTCTTTTTTTTTTTTTTTGAGACAGGGTTTCTCTGTGTAACTATCCTGGCTATCCTGGAACTTGCCTCCCTAGTGCTGGGTTTTAAAATTGTGACCAGCACTGCCTGGTATATTCAGTCCTTCTGATCCTCTTCAGACTCTCTAGCTAGTGCTGAGAGTAACATTAATCAGGCCTATTGCCGTGGTTATGGAAGACAGTAAGGAAACCCTTAAATAAGTCTGTTACATCAATAGTTAATCTGAATTATAATGTGACAAGAGCTAACACAATTTTTTGTTTTGTTTTTTCAATACAGGGTCTCCCTCTACAGCCCTGGCTGACCTGGAAACCACTCTATAGACCAGGCTGGCCTTAAACTCAGAGATCTTCCTGCCTCTGCCTCCTGAGTGCTGGGATTAAAGGTGTCACCACCACCGCCCAGTTTAACACCAAGTATTAATCTGCATTAGCCACTAATCACATGCCACCCATTTGATCCTTTTAATGACATTCTAGGGCAGGGTCTCTCTTAGTTCCTGTCTATAAATGGGGCCCGGCTGGGACCTAAGAGGTTATGGAAGACACTTGTTGAAGGAGCCACAGCTGGCAAAGGCTCAGCTCTGGACACAACTGACGCTGATCTGCAACAATGGTCCTGGCTTCATTAGAAACAGCCAAACCAAAGTGCTGGGACTCCCCCCAGGCCCAAGCAGTACCCATGACGGTAGTGTTGATGCATGAACTCCGCCAGCAAAGGTGTGTGTACCCTTCCTTCCTCATACCCTGGCCTCATACTGTGAATCTCTGAAGAACTCTATCTCCTGCTGATAAACCAGACTACTGGGGTCCAGCAGCCCACACATCAATGCCTACATCTTGCTTTCTGCTATATTTTAGCCACTTTCTAGCAGAGGCCAACAGGACACTGGCATATAAGCCTTAATTTGGATCCTGTTCTTCCTCCCCACAGCCCTTTTAGAGATTTTTATTATTTTTCACTGTCTGGTGTGTGGGAATGGATGCGGGCACAGAGTGCAGGCGCCCTGAGGAGGGTAAAGTTACCAGACCCCCGGGAACTCAAGTTCCAAGCTATTGAGAGCCACCTGACATGGGTGCTGGGGCCTGAACTCAGGTCCCCTGCAAGAGCAGTGCAAGCACTTAACCTCTGAGCATCTCTCTAACCACTCCCACCCCCTGAAATTCAGTCCTCTGGGATCATCAATAAACCCTTATGTACTCTGACAAACAGAACCCTGGGCCAAGCCCAGCTAAGAGCTGCCAGCTGGGGCCAGCACTTTCCTCCCCAAATGCCTGCAAACAAAAATCTTTTTATAGTTACAGGGTGATGTGACACTTTGTTTCCTCACCACAAGAGGCAGCTGATAGCCCACTGGGGAGAACCAGACACTGCAAAACAAAGAATTCGGCCAGAGGCTCCTTTCTAAGGACAAAAATGGCCCTTGTAGGCAAACCTTACTGGAGGTCAACACAAAGACATGTAGATCAGTTGAAGAGTTTCCGCTTCCCTGCCATTGGTTCAAGGTCAAAGGCCATGCCAATCCTCTAATCATCTCTACAGCTAGACCAAAGGAGCAGAGGACTCCAGCCGTGTATTCTGAAGATGTGACCTAGCTGAGGCCACATACAGGCTCTTTACTTAACCCTCTTTGACAAGTCGACCAGACAGCTACAATTATTTCTCATATCAACAAGGAAATAGATGGCTGAGATGTTAAGAGCACTTGCTATTCTTCCAGAAAACAGTCCTTACCACCCACAATGGCAGCTCACGACTGTTTGTGACTCCAATTCTAGGGGATCCAACATCCTACTCTGGCCTCTGAGGGTATCCGATACACACAAGAGAGACACACGCATAAATAAAAATAAATCTTAAAACAAAACCGCATTGAGCCAGGTGGTGGAGGCACACACCTTTAATCCCGGCACTTGGGAGGCAAAGGCAGGTGCATCTCTGTGAGTTCCAGGACAGGCACCAAAGCTACACAGAGAAACCCCGTCTCAAAAAACAAACAAAAGCAATGAAGTTGAGACATTCTTTATAAGGTTTGCCAGAAGTGTTTTCATGGGAAAGTGTATAAATCACACATACATTTCTTTAGAATATATATATCAAATACATTTGAGACTATGGTGTATGTGTGTATGTGTGTTGTTAAAATCTCAGGAACAATACAAGTTTGCTTTTTAAGGGTTTCTTAGCAAGATAAAGGGGTAGCAATCCGGCACCAGCCTTCTCCTCACCCTTTTTGTTTTGAGCCACTGTAAGCCTCAGAACCACTGCCTCCGTATTGAGGTAGGTGTTGTTTGTTGGGAGTGTTAAGGGTCTTCTTATGAAACCCAAGCTGCCCTAGAAACAACTTGCAATCTTTCTGTTTACACCTCTCAAGAGCTGGGATTATAGCTGAGTGCCGCATACCCAACTTGCATGGTTTATTGAGCCCCAGAATCTAAATGTACAGGTGTTCTCCAAGATGCTTTTTGACAGAAAACCCTGTCTCCAAATATTTTAAATTTTTTTCCTCAAAGCTGGAGAGATGTCTCAGCAGTTAAAACTCTGGCTGCTCTTTCAGAGGTCCTGAGTACAATTACCAGCAACCACATGGTGGCTCACAACCATTTGTAATGAGACCTGGTGCCCTCTTCTGCCCTGCAGGCATACATACAGGCAGAACACTGTATAGATAATAAATAAATCTTTAAATGTTTTTCTCTTGCTTTCTTCACCTCCTCTGGCCAAGCAACTAAGTGTTTTAGTCTAAGCCAATAAGAACATTTATTAAATCCCACCACCAGGCTATCTCCTCTGGTACCATAGAATACGGCAACACTCAAGACCGAATCCCAGGCTACTTGCTTGCTATGACTATGGAGCTGATTGCAGAGGAAGAGACATACCCAAAGTGCGTGCCATCTCGGTCAATGAAGTACCGGCCCTCAGAGTCTGTAGGGATGTAATGTCGCCCGCTGAACATGGCAGCCAACATGGTGTCTTCATAGCGCCGCAGGGTAGACAGGCGTGTGGTAAAGTGGGCCCCTCCAATGTTAAGGGGAACGACCTCAGGAAACTGGAAAGGAACCCGCACAGCTTTCAGACTGGCAGTCTGCCTGGGCTCGTTAATGTCACACCACTCAATCATCCCGAACTTGGGGACCATCTGAATACTCTCTTTTTCCCTGTCTCTCCTCTTCTCTGGAGTCCTGCTCATTCCACCTGACAGCTCTTACACCAGGTCTCTCTTCAGTACAACCCCACACTGCTCAGCGTTCATCCTCCTCCCCTTCCTGAACGTATCATCCCGATGTCCTTATCCATGCCATCTCCTTGGCCACAAACGCTCTTACTAGCCTCCTCCTGTCCAGCCAGCCAATGAACTTGCCAAATGTGGTGGTATAGGCTGCTCACCGTGCAAGCACCTGGATGAGCATCGCCTACCGACCCAGGTGTGTGCCCTTTTCTAATTCACACCAAGGCACGAGGTCAACTGGCAGCACTGGTTTATTCTCTAAGGTTCCGTGGCCACTACTGCTCTGTCCTCCCTCACAGGTCCCCAGGACAGAATTCTGTATCTAGTCCTCCATTACGTCTTCCCTGCATGCCATGCTCTCTTCTGTTACAGCACCTGGAACAATGCAATGGCAATCTTTTTCCTCTGTCAACCTGTTTTACCAGATGCCAGGCATCCTAACGCGCATCCTAAATGCGCAGAGACTGTGTGTGCTTGCCGGTGGTTACCAGGGACCAGCTGTGTTCCAATGGCCCGAGGCATCCGGTCCTCATCCCTTTCTTACCCAGAGACCTCACATGCTACGCAGGGCGTCTAAGGCTGAGCTTCTCTCTCTCTCAGCATCCCCATCCCCGTCATCCACTGCACTCCACGCCTCTCCTCTCAAACCAGAGTGACTTATTGGTTTCAAGTCCCCTAAGGTTTGCATGGCAAGGGCTAAGTGACGACAGGAAAATGGCGGTAAAGGTTAGCCGTGGGACCCTCAAAAGGGTCCCTTCCTGAAATGCTTGAGAATTAAAAAAAAAAATTCAGTGCTCTATTTTCTCTAAACTATATATGGAAGAACTGTTTCTGATCTAACTTTCCCATAGACTGCCTCCAAATCAACTAAAATTTTATCCCAGCATAACTCTTATTTTTCAATGTGATGACATCACTCTAGCTGTGGTGAAAGTCCTTTGCAAAAAAAAAAAAAAAAAAAAGGAAGGGCACAGCTAGGCACGGTGGTGCAAACCTTTAATCCCGACACTTGGGAGGCAGAGGAAGGATAATCTCTTTGAGGCTAGCCTGGTCTACAAAGTGAGACAGGCTAATCAGGGTGCTGCATAGAGAGGCCCTGTCTCATAAAAAGAAAGAATGCAAATGATGAAATAAAACTTAAGACCTGCCTTAGAGTAAAAACGGAAATTCACAAAATCAATTAATGAAACACACAGGATGTACAATTCTAAGTATAAACTCAACTCTTTTTTTTTTTTTTTTTTTGAGACAGTCTCACTATGTAGTCCTCACTGTCCTAGAACTCACAAAAATCCATCTGCCTCTACCTCTGGTGTGTGGGGATTCAAGGTGTGCACCACCATGCCCAGCAAATTTCAACCCTCAGTGCAAAATGCCTTCTACTTTTCTACAGAAACTCTAAATCCATTCTGTGTGTGTGCCAAGACTCAAATGTCGTCTTGGTACAACGCTTTGCACTTCCGGGAGTCTGTGTTAGAGGGAGTTCATACTCATCCACTTCTTTGAACCATATGTGAGAGAAAACACTGAAGAGGGCTCTCAGTATTGCATGGAGGGATGTGATTCATAGGAAGCTGGGACTGACACCTGGCCCGCAGTCTGGGGAGTCGTGCCCTTTCCTTCAAACCACATCTTTTATCCAATGACAGTGCACACACGCACACGCGCGCGCGCGCGCACACACACACACACACACACACACAAAACCTCCACTGTATCTCTATTGGCTCTTTTCCCTGACTGCAGTTATATCTAAAATTTTGCTTATTTTCACAAGTTTCCCACGATGTGGGCAATTCGGGGCTCCTAACCGGAATGCAATACTGGCTGCTGCTGCCTGAGAGCCTCACCCAGCCGGCCCCTTCAGACAACTCTGTGGGCTGAAGTCTCCACTTCTGTACCCATCTGCCTGTTTGTCTCGAGAGTCATTGCAGGTGCAAAGTGTCACACCCATGAAGGACTAATGAAGTCACCGTGTGCCCGAGCACAGTAGCAAGATGACTGAGCGGGCCAATCCCACCATCTCTGCTCTAGAGTTCAAGCCTTCAGTGCCCCCCTGCTAGTTCCCGAATTTATCGCATTTACGCCCTTGTTCGTGCTGTTTTCTTTGCTCCCGATGCTCTACCACTCATTTCTGTGCATCTAAATGAAATTGCCCCGTGCGGTGATGCAGATTGTTCACTGCATGAAAGCAACTGGATGGGAGAGGTCGCTCTGCGCGGGTGTGTCCTTTTCCCCAAATCATACCAAGGTACCATGTAGGTTATCTGAGCACAGCTTCCTACACCACTGTCTGGACTGCTGGAGAATACACCTGAGCAACCCTGGGCCTCCTTTTGGAGTGTATGGAACGTGCTATGTGTTGAAAAGTCCCGAGTCCTCCTCTAGCTGATAAAGGGGGAAGATAGGATACAGGAGTGGAACTGGACATCCTGGTAGCTACTGAGTCTAGGAAAGAGGCACACGGGGTGCAGGTGACCCCGGGCAGGGAGGACACACCTCATGCACCAGTGGCATCAGTGGTGGACAGCTCCTTTGGAGGCTCACCTCCCAAGGTCAGTTCTAAACGCACCAGTCTCCCTTCCCCCCTCCATCGCTCGGTCCAGGTACCTCCTGGGGCAGCAGGGGCAGCCCGTGCCCCGCTTGCGTGGCCGTCGGAGTGGCCGGCTCCAGGAAGTCGTCCTCGGCTTCGGAGCTGGACATGGCACCGTCCGAGTGACGGCTGTCTGGCTCCCGCCCGGTGACTACCACCATCCCTCTGGCTCTGGGCGGTGGGCGCGGCTTCGGGTAGGCGGGTGGGCGGAGGCCTGGAGAACTAAAGCCAAGCAGCGCCTAACATGACGAGACGGGACGCTGGCGGGCGCCCGACGCCGAGGGCCAGCGCGCAGCAGCAGGCAGGACGTCGCGCGCAGCCCTCCAACCGTCTAACGACCACCGCGCCTACAGTTAGTCGTTGGTCTGACCTGGCCGCCTCCTGCTATTGGCCGAGCCTCCGCTAGCTCCGCCTTGATTGTCGGGAGGTTCGTCCAATCACAGAGCAAACAGCTCGGCCTGAAGCCGAAGTAGCCGCTGGCCTGCCCAACTCTGATTGGCTCGCTGACGGACGGGCGCGCGCGACGCCGGCTTGCTCGAGGGTTTGGCCAAGGGGAGGCGATCTCCAGGCGCCGACCTCGATCGGCCACCACCGCGTGGACCCTACGCCGCAAATCGGAACCAGGCGCTTCTTGCTATTGGCCGAGACTTCACTGGCTCCTGCTGTGATTGGCAGGGGACTCGTCCAATCAGAGCGGAAAAACGCTTGGCCTCGAGGCGGGGTCGCGGGGTCGGCTTGTTCCACTCTGATTGGCTCGCTGACTAACGGGAGCGCTGCCTCCCCTGGTCCAGGCCGCTTACCTAGCGACCGCAGCGCAGGTAGCATCTCTGCCCGGACCAGGCCGCCTCCCGCTGTGGGCGGAGTGTGATTAGCCCCGCCCTGACCGATAAAGGTCTGGTCCGACGTTCGAGCCTGGAGCTAGAGTGACAGCTGACAGCCGGCTTGCCGATCGCCCCGCTCTTTTTGGCCATCTAACTAACGGGCACGAAGCTCGCTCATAGGGGCAGCGCCTTGGTTCGGCTGGCATTGGCTCTCTGACTAGCGGGCGCGAAGCTCCAAGCCACCTTGTCTTCACCGGCCGCAAGCACCCAGTACTAGCTGGTTTGTCTCCATAGTAAAGAGAGGCCTGGGCAGGCTGTCTCTGAGGATGCGCTGAGCAGGGCTGAGGGCACCGGCGGTGTAGAACATGGAAGTAGAGCCCTGCAACAATGTGGTTGGCCCTTCTTGAACCGCAAGGGCATGGCTGCTGTGCTAGGCTTTTTCCGTGGACTCACACAGAAATCTGAAGAAGAAGAAAAAAAAACAAACCAGTCTTAGTGGCATACACTTTTAATTGCAGCGACTTGAGAGGCTTAGAAGGATTTCTGAGAATTCAACTCGTCTCTAATAATAACAACAACAACAACAACAACAATAGAGTTGGGCATGGTGTCTCCCACTGTAATCCCAGTACTCGGGAGAGGCTTGGGAGTCAAGGCCAGCCTCGGCTACGTAGCATGTTCGAGTCCACCTTGGATTGCATGATGAAAAAAGATACTTAAAAGGAAAAAAATAAAATAAAAATCATGGAGGAAAAAAAATGAAAGAAAGAAAAACCAAAATAGGACCCAGTGAGATCAATGAATGATAGATTCTTCTGACAGGTTGGCAAAGAAGCCCTATAGGTAGACAAGATGGCAAACAGATCAGGTGCTTCACCAAGAGCAAAAGCCAGCAGTTCAACACCACCCCTACCGCCCTACCCCCACCCCTGCCAGCAGGGTTCCCCTTCTCTCTTAGACCTGCCAAGACATAACTCAGCTTTCATAACAGTATGGGTTATCAGCTCCCTCCTGTGTGTTTAAATTGACCAATCAGAACTAAGGGGATGGAGATCCACCCTAGACCACGAAAAGACTCAAGCCTACCTTTAGGCTGGATTTCCAAATCCCTTCTCCACTGGCAGGGAGTGTGTGTCTTTTGCTGTGTGTATGACTCCAGTAAAACTTGGCTGACTGCTGAGTCCTTGCCGTCCCAGCTGTGTCATTCTCTATACCTGCAGCTCTAGATGACCTCACCATGATGGCATCGTGACCTCTGCACCAGGACACAGTTGGAAACAAGCTCTTCCAGAAAGATCGTCCCAGCTAGCCAGATGACCTATTGACGCAACACACCTCAGTCACTCAGGGACTGTGTGACCTGTTGAGGAGGCTCCTTCAGAAAAAAAAAAAAAAATACAACCCTGTACCTTTCAGCAGCTCCGACAGGCTTTGTCACCCGTTTCAGTAAATCACTTAAAGAGAAAACCAGGGAGTTAATCCACGCAGCTACACTGGGAAGAGAAAATGCTAAAGGACTCCTGTTACCTCCAAGTTCATCTGATAATTGACGTGAACTTGGGGTTTAAGTAGATGATGGATTGGGGCAGAGGAGACGATATGCAAATAAAGCAGCCCCAGTCAAGTGGGTTGTCTTGGTTCGGATTCTGTGAGGTGGTCCAGAGAAATCCTTTCAGCTGGAGACAAGCTGATTAGGATCACCCCTGCTTCCCCTGGGGCCTTGCCATCGTGGACAATGGCCCCCAGGGGGTTGTGGGTGGGTGTCTTTGCTGTGAGTCTCTTCTGTTCCGAGAATCCACCTGGAAGAGGACAGTGTCAAGAGTGGACAGTAAGATGCCTCAGCCACTCGTCTTTTTGCCCATCCTGAAGGGATAGGTTCAGGCAGATAACTCAAATGATAAGCATACCTATGTAGAATCAACCAGGAATTTGACACAGAGAAAACCGGGACAGAGAAGTCAGTCAGGTTTTTGTCCTGCTTTGTGTGTGAGTATGTACAGGCGCCCTTGGAAGCTAGAAGAGGGCATCAGGTCCCTGGAGTTGGAGTGAAGGTGGATCTAAGCTGCCCCAGTGTGGGTGCTGGGATCAGAACTCAGGTCCTCTGGAAGAGCAGTCAGTGCTCTTAATCACGGAGTCTTTTCTCCAGCCCAGACTTCAGATTTTAAACTACTTTCTCATTGTGTTCCTCATATACTTTCATACCATTGACAGAAATGGAAAATGAAGCCAGGGCGTAGGGGCATAGACCTGTAGCGCCAGCACCTGGGAGATGGCCACAGGCGGTCATCCTCAGAGACATAATGAGTTAGAGGCCAGCCTGAGTTCCATGAAGTCCTGTCAGGGGAGTACAAACTGGCAAAAGCCGCCAACTCAAACAATTTCCTCTCTTCCTTAGGACAAGAGTGCTTCCATTGCAACAGAAATTGCAACCAGATTTTGGTTTAGGCAACAGAAAGAATTTTATCATACATAATAAGACATCTGAGCAGGCCCAGGTTGGTTCGCTGGATCGATTTTCCTCGTTTATCCACTCTGCCAGAGGGCCTCTCCCCTCTTAGGAGTCTACACGAGAAAGGCGTGTGGCTAAGGAGCACCGAGAAGACATTCTGAAAGGCTGATGAGGAGCCGAGTGGGGGTGGCACTCACCTGCAACCGCTGCCCTTGGGAGACTGAGGCAGGAAGAGTTTGAGGCCAGATTGGGATGCATAGTGAGACCTAAAAAACAAAGCATTGACGCTGTAGTTTAGTTGGTAGAGTTCCTACAATGCACTAAACCCTGGGTTCCACCCCCAGTAATATATTAACTGGATATTGGAACAATAATCCAAATAAAACTCGGACTGATGAGGTGGTTCATCAGGTCAAGGCACTTGCCACCACCCTGTGTGCGAACACTGAAGCCCATGTGGTGGGAGAGAACCAACTCCTGGAAACTGTCCTCCAACCTCCGCAACCACACCACGGCATCCACGTGAGCATGTGCGCACAAACACACAAAGAAATACAAAAATAAGACCTATAACTCCCAACACCATGGAGGTAGAAACAGGATCAGAAATTGAAGGTTATTCTGACTAGAGAGCGGGTTTGCAGCCAGGTTGAGCTGTGTGAGACCCTGTCTCAAAAATGAAAGTGGACTGGGTAGTGGTGGCGCACACCTTTAATCCCAGCTCTTGGGAGGAAGAGGCAAGCGGACCTTTGTGAATTCGAGGCCAGCCTGGTCTACAGAGTGAATTCCAGGACAGTCAAGGCTACACAGAGAAACCCTGTCTCAAAAGAATAAAAACAACAAAATCTAACAACAAAAAAAGTGGGAGTGGGGGAAAGAAAGAAAGAAGAAAGGAAAGAAAACACAGAGCCCCAAAATGTCAAGCGGGACAATGCCTACATAATCATTTTTATGTGCTGGAGCTTTCTTCTATTTTCTGCCAAGAATTTCCCTTAGGAATGTACTTTCCCTCTTGGTTTTGTTTAAGCGGTTTGGGAAATCCAAGGTCAGCAGCCTGGTGTGAGGGCTGTTGGGAAAGTAGGAAGGCCTAAAGAAGAGTCTGGGCTGGACAGTTTGCTTGCAGACCCTCCACACCACTCCCAGCAGCTCCCAGAGGCTGTGCAGAAGGGTCAGGGAGTGCTGAGGATGGGCTCGGTGGGTCTCCTCTCAGAGAACAGAGGCTGTTAGGCCCTGGAACTTCCCCCAAGAATCAGATAAACAAGTCATATGACATTAAGCCCTGAAATTGGCCACTCAGTGCTATTGCTTTGCCAACTCTCCACAAAGAAAAAAAATTTTAATACTTTATTTTTACTTTACATACATTGGTGTTTTGCCTGCATGTATGTCTGTGTGAGGGTGTCAGATCCCCTGGAAAGGGAGTTGCAGACAGTTGTGAGCTGTCATGTGTGTGTGTGGAGAATTGAACCCGGTTCCTTTGGAAGAGCAGCCAGTGCTCTTAAATGTTGAGCCGACTCTCCAGTCTTTATTTTGAGACAGGGCCTCACATATCCCAGGACTGGCCTAGAACTCCTTTAGCAGCCCAGGATGACTTTGAACTTCTAATCCTCCTGCCTCCGCCACAGGCATACACCATCACACCTGATTTGCTAGCTCTTAAGTTCTAGTGTTTATTTGGAACTGAATTCAGCTGAACTCTTTAGGTTGGCTAGAAACTTTCAGGCACTGGGAAATACTAGTCCCAAGGCGATATAGGATTAAAATAGCAAGAGTGTAGGTTGGCCAGGCTTTCCTGCCCAGAGCCACAGAGCCAAGGTTTCTAGGTTTGGCAAGCCTTTTGGTATCTGTCATCATAGCAGGAGAACAGCCACAGACAAGACCGAAATGAGTGAGTGTGTGGCCAGACTTGGCTCCCTGGCCATCATTTACCACCGCTGTAAAAGGAAACCATAAATCTTAGCCTCACTGTGTTCTCTCTCAGCCAGCTCCATCTGCCTTACGGACAGGAGACTGTTTCACCCTTAAGTCACCTTTCAATGATCTAGTTGTGAAAATGGAAAAAGAGCCACGTCTTGACAGCATCAATATTGCTAATCTTAGCTCAAAGGGGCAGGTTAAGTAATAAGTCATTAGAAAATAAATGTGTTGCCGGTGGTGGTGATGGCGCACACCTTGAATCCAGCATTTGGGAGGCAGAGGCAGGCGGGTCTTTGTGAGTTCGAGGCCAACCTAATCTACAGTGTGAGTTCCAGGAAGGCTCCAGAGCCACAGAGAAAAACAAAAAAAGCAAAAACCAAAAGCACCACCCCCACCCCGAGAAAAAAAAAAAGAGGCTCATCGTAGGGGACTCTTTTTGTAGACAAAACTTTCTCCTTTTTGTTAATTTTTAAAAATTTTAAAGATTTGTTTTTCTAAATGTCTAGCCCGTATGTGTGTTATGTATATGCACCGAATGTCTGCCTAGTGCCCGCCCGAAGAGTTGAGAAGTGGGCGCCGGATCCCGGAACTGGAGCTACAGACAGTTGTGAGACAGCAGGTACGTGCAGAAGACACCGGGGTCCTCTGCAGGAGCAACAGGTGTTCCTGACCACTGAGCCGCAGCTCCAGCCCCGCTTCTTCTTTTTAAAAACAATCCCTTTCATCTCTTTATTTGAGGACAACATGCAGGATTCAGTTCCGTCGCTCACCACGTGAGGTCCTGGGATAGAACTCAAGCGGCCAGACTGGACAGCAGCTGCCTCTACTCACCAGCAGGCTCACTGGGCGCAAAGTAGACACAGCTTCCGACACATTCTGATTCGTCTATTTCTGAAAATCCCACAGTCATTCCATGTTTAGCCAACAGAGGGCACTTTAGGCTTTTCCACCAAAGCCCACCATGAGGTCATTTCTACACTATGTAACCACAAAACAGAGGCTTTGCTGTGAAAATGAACCAACGTTAGATCTTTAATAACCCCGGAGAAAATGAGACTCGTTTAACAAGACAGGGCCAGGCATGGTAGTGAACTCCTGACACCTAGCACCTGGGAGGCGGAGGTAAGAAGATGGAAAAGTCAAAGGCATCCTTGACTACACAGAGAGTAGACCACCTCAGGAAACAAACAAAAAAATATTAAAATAAGCCTTATACAAGTGCCCCCCCACGCGCTCAAAATCACAAACTATTTTGTTATAATTTAAACTTTACAGAGCAAAAGATACAAGAATAATTAAATCAACCAAACCTTAAGGAGAAAAAGAAATTATGAGTTCTAAAGGAATAAAATTAACCTCTCTCTCACAGTTCCACATATGACAGTGTTCTCTTTGCAAAGACACAAAGTCCTGGAAGGCACACAGGGAACAGCGACAATGTAGCAGAAGCAACTTGACCTGGAGAGCCCTGCAGAAGGGACATGGTTTTCAGTCTTTATAAATACAAATGTTTGGTGGCATGTTTGTAATCCCAGCACTCAGGAAACTGGGGCCAGCCTGGGCTACACAGTGAATCCTGTTTCAAAAAAAATCAAACACTGCTCTTACAGAGAACCAGACTTTGGTTCCCATTTTATGTATCAAGGGGCTCACAAACAGTTTTAACTTTGGCTTTAAGGGATCTGATGCCCCCTTCTGGCCTCCATGGGCACTGAACTCATGTGTGCCTGAACACACACAAACACAATTACAAATTACAACCTTTGGAAGCTGCGGAGATGGCTCAGAGGTTAAGAATGTTAGCTGATTTTCCAGAGGATCTGGTTCAATGGTGGCTCACAACTATCTGGAACTTCAAGTGGCTCCCACACCCTATGCTAGCCATTATGGCGCCAGACATACAAGCAGTACATAGGCATGCATACAGGCGAAAACTAAAATGAGTCTTTAAACACACACACACAAAGACTCAAAATAATAAAAAACAAACAAAAACCCAGCCTGATTTTGAAGCAAAAAGGAATGTTTTGCCTGGCCCATCACCTGCCGGCCAGTTTTTGAGGGCTAATACTATAAGTTAGGTTTGTCACCAATCTGCTTACAGTAGGTGGCCAGTTAGAACACCCCCCCCCCCGTTGCTAGAAGTCTTAGTTGGGGTCATCTTTGTGGGTCCCTGGCAAAAGCCACCCCCATCAAGATGGCGCTTTTGTTCCTCTCCCCCTCCATCCTGCCTTCAACCCACGTCCTGCACTCAGCCCACCCAACCTGCTCCCTCTTGTACTCATCATTCCCTCCCCCCCCCCCCGCCCCAGTCCCCGCCAATCTCTCTCTCTCTCTCTTTAAGAATTATTACGTAACAATGTTCTGTCACCATGTGCGCCTGCGGACCAGAAGAGGGCGCCAGATCAGGACCTCCGGAGGAGTAGCCTCTTAACCTCTGAGCCACCTCTCCAGCCAAACAGTAAGACTTCCAACAGTGAGAGCAGGACCTCTCCCTGGCTCTTAGCTGGCTTCAAGTAACCTGTTCCCCACGTTGGATTACCAGGCCCCGCCCCAACGTCGGGGGAGGAGCTTGGTCCTGCCTCAACTAGAAGTGCCTGGCTTTCTACCGGCCAGTGGGGGGCCTGTCCCTTTCTGGATGGAGATGGAGGAGGAGTGGATGGGGAGGGGGCAGATGGGGAAGAGAAAGGATGGGAGGAGAGGAGAGCAAGGAGGGGATACTGGTAGGTAAGTACAATAAATGGAAAAAAAGTTATTTAAATAAGAAAAAAAAGAAATACAGGTTTACATATGTTTTCCTTGATTTCCACACTGTCTTGAAGTCCTAAAGACAGTAATCTACCTAAAGCTCTTAGTACACAATCATGGCTGTCAAATTACTAAGTCTAGGGTGGTATTTAAAAAGTCCTCGGAAGTACTAATGATGAGTAAGGGAAAAAATCGTGTTTGAAGATGGTCATTGGAAGGTGATGATTAAGACCTAGGCTCTGGGTCCAGGCTCCCTGGATTTGTGCTCCACCCCCAACAGTTACTCAGTGGGCAGCGTTGGGCAAGATACTTTATTTCACTGAACTTATTAATTATCTTGACAAACATAAGTCTCAGCACAGCACTCACCCACTGAGAGATCAATCATTCAAGCCCCAGCTCCAGGCAAAGTGTCTCCCACTGGCCTTGAAGGAACTCGGTAATCCTCCTCAGAATGCCTGGTTAGGCATTGCTATATTTTTCTCCTTCCTTTCTGTTTTGATTTTTAAATTTTATGTGTATTAGTGTTTTGCTGTATGTTTGCATGTACAGCATCTGGGCTGTGCCGCATGATGTCAGAAAGGGTGACAGCTGGGGGTCACCTCATGGGTGCTAGGAACTGAACTTGGGCTCTGTGAAAAGGCAGTATTCTT